ATTGAGCATCCCCTGTGGAAGGACAGTCCATTGATATCTTCTAGTAGACACTATGAAGGCAAATTTTTCTCTATCCTTTTCTCTCAAAGATATAGTGAAAAAACAATCTTTCAAATCAATAACTCTAAGAGGCCATCCTCTTGGTAATAGAGAAGGCAAAGAAATTCCAGATTGTACCGGACCCATAGGTTGAATTACCTTGTTGACAGCTCTTAGATCTGTCACCATTCTCCATTTACCAGATTTCTTTTTTATAACAAACACAGGAGAATTCCAAGGACTGGTTGATTCTTCAATATGGTTAGCATCTAGTTGCTCTTGTACCATCTGTTCCAAAGCCTGTAATTTATCTTCAGCTAGAGGCCACTGCTTGATCCATATTGGCTTCTCAGTTAGCCATTTTAAAGGTAGGGCTGTTGGTACCTCTAAAGGTTTGCTATTGGCTGTATGTTCTTGTACAGCCTGAATGGCTGGTGACCTTTTCCCATAATGCCTCATTATATCCTTTCCAGAATTGTGAGTTCCTGGAACTATAGGAATGTTAATCTGGGTATTCCATTGCTGTAGCAGGTCACGACTCCATAAATTTATTGCAATATTGGCTATATATGGCCTTAGTCTTCCTATTTGCTCTTCAGGCCCTATGCATTCCACCCATCTTGTGCTTTGTTTTACACGAGATAGGGTTCCAATTCCCAGGAACTGAACATCTACCTCTTGAAGAGACCAATTTGGATGCCAAGATTCTGGAGTAATGATACTTACATCCGCACCTGTGTCTAATAAGCCTTCAATAAAAATGCCATTTATACAGACTCTTAGCTTTGGTCTTTGATCATTAATAGAAGTCTGCCAAAATATACGTTTACTCTGTCCTACTAAATTTTTTTGACTCATTCTCCACATGTAATTCATCATTTAGACCAGTATTACCTTTTACAGCAGACATTGGAGTTTTTAATTTTCTTGGTGAGACACATTTTCCACTGTAACTGGGTATGACTGGGCCACTTTTGGCTTGGGGGCCTGCGAGAGGCCCCTCAAGTAGTTTCCCAATGGTATTGGGTTGCCTTGTCTGTCTGTTGTTGACCTGCATTCGTTGGACCAATGTCGGCCTTTACCACATCTCCTGCTTATACCTGAAGGCTGAGGTCTCCTACTTTTATCATTCCCAGAGGAGATATTATTCCTAGAATTTCTTTGCCTGCAATCCCTTTTCAGATGTCCTAATTTACCACGATTAAAACACCTGGTAGTTTGATGTCTCCTCATAGCTTTGGAAATCGCTTCTCCTACCCAGGATTCATCATTATAGATAAACGTCTCAACATTCATTGTATGCTGTATCCATTCTTCCATAGGTGCTGATCTAGATCTTAAAGGCCCAATTATCTTTTTACATTCGGTATTTGCATTTTCAAAAGCTAGAGATTCAAGAAGTATTCGTCTAGCTTCTGGGTCTGTTACCCCTATGTCCAGAGCCTTAATTAATCTTTGCACAAAGTCAGTAAAGGGTTCCCTCTGTCCCTGCCTAACCCTGGTATATGATTCGACCCTTTTTGCTGGATCTTGTATTCTATTCAAAGCATTCAAGGCTGCTTTGTGACATAAGGACAGCACTTCTTTGTCATAAAGAGCTTGGACCTGTGGATCAGCATATGCTCCTACACCAAGAATTTGATCTTGGGAAACCTCCACACCTTTTGCTCTTCCTTGCTGTTCCATATGTTTGGATTCTTCTCTTAAATAAATTCCAAACATCAAGGAAGGTCCATCATCTAAAACTGCAGACACTAGCTGAGAGAAATCATGGGGGGTAGCTCTGACATTAGAAGCCCAACTCCTTATTATTTCCTTAACAATGCAGAGTGCAAGCCATAATTAACGACAGCTTGCTTAATTTCTTTTAAATCATTCATTGATATTGGTGTCCATCTAGCTTCTTTAACTCCCTTTGAGCCTTTATAAGTTGACCCTTTGTCAGAATAAATTGCAGGGTATGTCGTTAGAACCCTGGGTAAGCCAGTTCTAACAGCTGGTGATGGTACTGTATCCTGTCCTTGTGCCTTCTTTCTCTGTTCACCAGCTCCAATAGTTTCTTCAATCATTTCTATTCTTTTTATCATTGTCTCCCTTAAATCATGAATCTCCTGACCTACCCGTGTTTCTAGGAATTTCACTAAGGTATCAGTTTTTTGGTTCCCATTCTGGAGGTACATTCTATCTGTTACCTTATCAAAACTTTGTGGTAATGTCTGAACGTCAAATTCAACAGCCTGAACCCTTTCAGGTAACTTCAGTACCCGTGGATATGGAGTCAATATTGTCTATCATAGTATCCACTTGTTCAGATAACCCCTGATTTTCAATAATTTTAATCCTTTCAACTAGTTGTTCATTATTAGTCCGTAAATATCGTATCTTCCTTAATGTTAAAATATTGAAAAGAAAACTGAAACCGAGTAACAAATAAATTAATGTATCCCCATAGTCATATAAACCTTGCATGACATAATCCATTGTATTAATAAAGAAAACAGTAAAATTGGCATTGGAAACAAAAACTGCCATATTTCCTCTTGTCTAGTAGGTGGCGCTGTTGCCGAGTCGCAACTAGAACCACTGCAAAGGTGACGGAAACAGGGTCCTGTTTCAGCGTCTCCCTTAGTATTTGTTAAAAACTAGGAAATATAAGTTGCCTGAGAAAGAAAATGTAATTAAATCAATTCTATACATGGAACCAGAAACCCAGAATCCAGGGGTAGAAAAGAGCAACCCGGAAGCCGCGTATGCCTCCACGTGACTGAGTCGTTCTGATTCATGCCACTAAAGCACTGCACTTAACAAGGAAAATTTAAAAACAACTCAGAAAAGAGCAAACCAGGCAGGCAGAGACTGTCCCAAGCCTGTGGAGCTTGGGAGGCATGGGGTTTAATTGAACTGCTGGCTCCACACACAGGGCACAGGCCGCAGCTGAGGGAGGGCTCGTGACTAACCGAGCTGGTGGCAAGCAGTTGAGTGGAGGGGGGAAGGGGGATTCTACAACCAAACGTGGGGCGTTGGGTGCCAGATGAAAGCGTCAGTCACAAACAATTCCACACCAGTTTGGAATTATGATTAATAGAATGGTTATTTATTCAAAGGGGAAAAACTTACAGATTACCGTCCCAGACAACAGCCCCTCTGCGCGATCAGGAAAGGAGTCTAGGAGCTGGAAGCAGAGCTGGAAGCCAGAGAGAGAGTGGAGGACAGCAGCTGCTTTTTTAAAGAGAGAGAGAGACCACGCCCCAATGGGCTGGTATCTCAGCGGCGATTGGCTGAAGGAGCGGAAGCAGCTCCCACAGCAGGACTGTGCAGATAGAGTCATCAAACAATGATCTAAAATTACATTCATTCCTCAGGGAATAATAATGTTATGAACGTTTTCACAGTTTTTGAAGTATAATTGTCTTCTAACAATCAGTACATAATTAACCAGCCATGGTGGTGCATGCCTGTAATCTCGCCTACTTAGAAGACTGAGGCAGGGGGATTGTAAGTTTGAGGTGTACCTGATCTAAACAGAGAATTCAAGACCACACCAAGTAACTTAACAAGACCCTGTTTCAAGAATAAAAATAATAAAGGGATGGGAACAAAGCTCAGAGGTGGAGCACTTGCTAGCACGTATAGGCTCTGGGTTAAAGCCCAGCACTTCAAGACAAACAAGCAGAGACGGCTGCTTGTAATATTTGATATGGGCACACTTTCACTAGTCCATTGTTTTAACAAAGAGAAGTGATCTCTCCTAGGGCCTCCAAGGTTTCCTTGTGCCCCCGTAATCTCTACTCTAACTCAAAGTGACAATTATGTCACTGTCAGTTTTCATTTTAAAAAATTTTATACAAATGAACACATTTAATATGTACTTTTTAAGATCTGTTCTTTCCAAACCAGCTTCACTGAGAGGCATCTATGCTGCTAACCATACCAATAATTCGTTCCTTTTTACTGCTGAGCAGTATTTCATCCTGTGGAGACATAGCAGCTCGCTTAGCCATGTGCCTCTTGATGGCCATTTGAATTGTTTCCGGTTTTAATCTTGCAAACAGTTAATTTGCATAGTTCCGCAAATAACTGTTCATCGTGTGGAAATAAGAATAGAGTGTTTGAGTCCCATGATATCTGGATAAAACATTTTAAGAAAGTGCCAGAATGAATTCTCCGTCTCCATCCCCACTGAGTGTTTCAGTGGCTCTGTCTCCTCCACGTGGTCTTTCCGGTCCTTTGAATTTCCTCTCCTCTAAAAGGGATGCAGTGATAGCACACCTTGGTTTTAACTTGCATCGCTTGGAAATGATAATGTTGAACACCTGTTGTGGGATAGTTGTATGAAGATGTAATGCTGTGATTGGTGTAAGGAAAAGCTGAGCAGCCAATAGCTATGCAGAAGAGTGTAGGCGGGGCTTCTAGGCAGGGAGTGGACTTTGGGAAAAAGAAAGGTGAAGGAAGCAGGATGGGCAGTATGCAGATGAGGTAATGAGCCATGTGGGGAAACGCTGGTTTAAGTCCTAAGAACTCGTTAGGAACAAGTCTAAGCTAAGGTTGAACTTTAATAATTCATATGAGGCTCCTTGTCATTATTTGTGGGTTGGTGGTCCTGACAAGAAAGCACTACTACAAACACCTTTTCAAATTATTACTTGCCACTGATGACTGGCTCCGTTGTCCTCTTGGACACTGCATCAGATATAAGAGACTAGGCTGTTTTCCTCTGGTTGAGCTTTGACTTTCTCTGTGTACTCTAGGTGTAGTAACGTCTATCAGATGTGAGGACCTCCATCAGGACAGTCCTGATATGTCAGGCACCAGTCCGACTTCACACTGCCATAATGTTCAGCCCTGGTATGAGTGACTTTTTGGTTGCTGTGATGAACACTGTGACCAACAGGGACTTGTGGAAGAAAGACTTTCTTTTGGCTTAGGGTTCCAGAGGGAGAGTCTGTAAACGGTGGGGGAGGGAGGCATGACTGACGATTGCCAGAGCAGGAACTGAGAGACCACATCCCCAGCTATAAATAGGAAGCTGAAATAGGCAACTGGAAGTGGGGTGAGGCTGGAAACTTTCCAATCCCGTGCCCAGTGATGCACTTCCTTCAGTAGGCCCTAAAGGTTTCATATCCTCCCCCAAACAGCTCCACCAATGGGGGCAGGGTGTTTACCTGACCTATGTGGGACGGTTCTTCCTCAAACATCAGTCAGTGACCATAAGTAGCAACCTGAGAAATATGGGACTTTAGCCTAAATGGAGCAGTGGAATGGAGGGACAGCAGCTGGGGACCTGGCCAGCAGTTTTCCACATCCAATAAGGTATGCTAGCGTGGTGGTAGAGGAAGCAAGGTGGAGACCACACAGACAGGGGCCCCTGACTGTCTTAGTGAGGGTCGCTATTGTGGGAAACACCCTAGTCAAAAGCAAGCTGGGGAGGAAAGGGTTTATTTCACTCACAGTTCCATATATCAGTTCTTTATCAAAAGCAGTGAGGGCAGGGACTCACACAGGGCAGGAACCTGGAGGCGGGAGTTGATGGAGAGGCCAGGGAAGGGAAGCTGCTTACTGCCTTGCTCCCCATGGCTTGTTCAGCCTGCTTTCTTATAGAACCCAGGACCAACCAGTCCAGGGCTGGCACCACCCACGATGAGCTGGGCTCTCTGCCGTCAGTCATTAAGAAAATGCTCTACAGGCTTGCCTACAGCCCGGTCAAAATACAGCACGGAAACTATCAAAACCATACACACTGCAGATGAAAGTTCTGGGGAAGCCACTGTTTCCAGAAACCTTTGCAATTAGCTGGAAAAGCTGTTTTGCATACCAGGAAGGTACATTCCATTCCAAGGTCCCGGTCTTAGCAAACGTTCACACGTGCACGTCTAGATATGAGTCTACAAGGGCAAGAATGTTTCTTCCGGCACTGTCGGTAGCAACCGTCCTGCTGACAACCAGCCCATCCTCACCAATGGTAGAATGCAGGCATGGAGGTTTGGTTGTACAGTGCTGTATCACAGAGGAAATGAGCTGTGTCCAGTGACTGGATGAATCTCATCAATCTAACGTTGGGGAGGGAGGAGAACAGGACACACAACATTCAAAACAAGCAGGGACACGCCATTGCTTAGCAACGTGTATACAAAAGATAAAGACCTTGAAGAAAAGCAAGGAAAGGGTCAGGGGAGCGGTCGTATTTCTACGGAGGTGTGGAAAGGGTCGTTAGCTGACGCTCTTTTAGATTACATGTGCTTTGTGCAATTTCTGCTTATAAGATATAGTTCGTAATAAAAGGAGGGGAAAGGTAGGAATCAGCCAAATTAAGGGAAAGATGCGCATGCCAGACAGAGGGCAAAAATCAGCAGGGACTAGGCCTGCGGAGCTATAGGCGTGCCAATGGGAATGATGGGATGGTGAAATGGCGTGGCGAGGAGTGGCCAAAGGAATGGAAGCAGGCAGGGAGGGCTGTGTGAGTCCTGCGAAGGAATCTGGACTTTATTCTGGGGGCGGTGGGGAGCCTTTGACCACACCTCAGAGGATGTGCCTCATGGTACTCAGGTGAGTGGGAGTGGAGTGGGGAGCAGAGGGTTCGAGTCCTAAGTGTGTTGCTATTGCAGGTGGCGTATCCCAGAGCCTGTGTGCCCACAGCTGGAGTCCAGTTCAGGAGCGCTGCTCCCAGAGCCCCTGGACCAATGGTCCTGCTGGTTCCTGATGATGTGGTGGCTGAATCTGGGATCTTGTCACTTCCTAATCACAGAATCCTTAAGGACGGGGGCAGGGGCAGATTCTCCTGTCTTGTTGCTCTTTAACGTTAGCCAGGCTAATATGTGATTGAAGAGGAAGTGTCATCCCTGATCCTGGACACCATCTCATTTAGATTTTGGATATTTTAGAGCAAAGGAGAAAAGACAATAAAGGATTCTGGTCTGAAAACCGTGGTGGTGGACTGATGAACGTTACTCCTGTGTAGGAGCCATCTGATAAACTGATAATGTAATAATATCAAATGCCACATACCATGTTCAGCTTGTCCCTAAAGCGGATTGCTCCATCTGCAATAACAACAGAGCCTCTGGCCAGGGAAAGGTCTTCTCAGACTTGGGGGTTCCTTTGTTCAAGTTGGGAACCAAGTTCCCTAGATAGAGTCTACACACACTCTTAGGTTCTCAGTTCAGGAAGAAGGATACTGAAAAGAACCATCTGAAAGTTCCCAACTGTCTTGTAATTTTAATGATATCTGAGGGATTTAGCCCCAGGTAGCATAGATAGCCACTGATATTGTTGCCACTAGATTTATTTTTTAAAATAAAGCAGCCTAAAAATACATACATACACACACACAATTATATATTGAAATAGTATAGATCAACTTAATAATTTTAAATTCAAAAGCAAGAACATTTCCCTTGTTGTAGGAGGCCGCTTGTTTGTTTCTCGGCTGCCCAGACTCCTGAAATAACCACACAGATGCTTTATTAATTAGATCACTGCTTGACCTATTAGCTCTAGCTTCTTATTGGCTACCTCTTACATCTTAATTTAACCCATCTCCATTAATCTGTGTATCACCACGAGGCTATGGCTTAAGAAGTAAAGTTTTGACATCTGTATCCAACGGGGTTATGTGACTTCTACCTGATTCCACCTTCTTTTTCCCAGCATTCACTCCAATTTTCCCCACCTAGCTCTGCTCTGCTATAAGCTCAAAGCACTTTCATTATTCATTAACCAATAAAAGCAACACATAGACAGAAGGACCTACCATACCATATCTGCTTATGAGGCATTTAGCTTGCTATGAGATATCTTCTCCACTTCAAAAGATTATTTATTTCTCATGTTCTCTGTTGTAATTCCCTTTGCCTCCTACACACATCAAAAACAAGATTTATTTTCATTATTTTGAAGTGTGTGTGTGTGTGTGTGTGTGTGTGTGTGTGCTCCTGCAGAGGCCGGAAGAGGGCATCGGATCCTCTGGAGCTGGAGTTACAAGGGGTGGGAAATGTCCCATGTGAGTGCTGGGAAGTGAACGCAGATCCCTTGGAAGAGCAGGAAGTGTTCTCAACACTGAGCCATCTTCCCAATCCCCATTTCTTTCTTTTCCTTTTCAATGAATCTGTTTGTCTTGTTCCATAATAAAAAGGAAGCTCAAAACAGTTCAGATTCAGCCCGGAACTATTTATTCAGACAATCTTCATCCTGAACCAGCGTGTGCTGAATAACTATTGAGCATAATTTGGTGCCTGTAAGATTGATTCCTGTGACTAATCCTCTGCTCAGTCCGGTCTGAACACAGTGTTCCCCTGTTCACACTGGAGCCACCTCCAGACCGTGCCTGCAAGCCGAGGGTGGGATGGTCTTCGCCGACGGGAGATTCTTGGACATTGACCTTACCAGGAAGTGTTGGCTGGTGGTCACGATGCCGCCTATCAACATGCTCCGGGTGGCCTGCTGTGTGACTGCCCTCCTTGACTGTTGAGACCAGAGTGATAAAAGATGCCACTGTAGCAGATCAGAAAGTCGTATTTCATGAGGGAGAATAAATGAATTGAACTGAGAAAGAAGCCTTATGAATTAAGAGCTGAGGACATCCCCAAGATAGGTGTGACCTGAACCAAACAAAACTGGCTCAGGAGGAGACATCCTACTAGTCTGAGAGCTACAGCTCAGGTGTCCTAACATGTCTTCGACCTTCAGGAACTGAGGAGTACCCCCTTCACCTGCTACAGTAGCCTTGGTGCTGCGCTCTGCCCTTGTCCCCTTTGGTTCTCTCCTGCTCCAGCTTCTGTCACCGTCACCTGCAATCTCAGAGCTCCTTGTGCAGAGCTGCCCAGCCTGCCGCACCACTGCACGCCCAGCCTCACTTGGAGGAGCCCCCCCCGCGGAAACCCTGATGCTGGAACCCCTGGGCAGATGGTGTTTGTCTCCTCTTGGGATCCCTCCCAGCTGCTGGCCTTTCTTCTTTTTGCTAAATCCGAAACATGCTTCTAGAGAATTCTTATGGATTTGCTCTGGTGGCGAGAAAGCTGCTTTGTCCCTCCAACATTATTGACACTGAACATCAAGGACCCTTGTGGGCCTATGACAAGCTAGTAGGGGGCACTTCACGACACTGTTAGCAAAGAAAAACCAGCTTGGCAAGTGGAAGGGAGTATTTTGCCTTTTAAAATCATCGTTTCAAAAATCTATTAAGTATCTCTTTACTAGAAAATGTGGTAAGAGCATCTCTCATAGAATATCCTATAACTTTTCTAAGGAAAAAATTATTTTTATCACTTTAGTGGTGTGTGTTTTATGTGCGTGTGTGTGTATGTGTGTGTGTGCGCGCACACACACATACACACACACACAGAGAAAGAGAGAGAGAGAGAGAGCGAGGAAGAGCGAGAGAGAGAGGTTAGAGGTGTTGGATTCCCCTCCGGTGAGCCACACCTTGACACACACACGTACTGGGAACCTCTCTAGGTTCCCTGCTAGAGCTGTATATATTTGAACAGTTGAGCCATCTCTCCAGCCCCAGCTTTTTTTTTTTAAAAGGAGAGGGTGAGGTAAGAGAAATTATGCCATGAAGACCTCAGCTGTTCCTTTTTGTTGTTGTTGTTGTAGCAGAGTCCCAGTTTGAAACCCTTCTCCCTCAAAATTTACTTCATCAAAAAATTTAAAAATAATTTGGAAATTGGCAAATTAAAAGTGAGAAAATGTTTAAAAAATTCTTCAAATTTCTGCCTTAAAAATGTTCCACACAGCAATCTGTTCTGCTCTCAGGGTCATTGACAGATAGCGCATACAAACTGATCTAGACAGGCAATGGTTAGTCCACGTTTTCTGAGAAGAAAGGGAATCTGAGGTAAGTGGGTATGACCAAAGGATAGGGAAGGGTCCATGAAGGTTGCATGTAGAGGTTTAGGAAAGACCAGAGGGGAGAGGAGAGTCACAGGTGAAACACTTAAAATAAGTTTGAAATGTTGTGGGCTAAATTGATCCACTGGCTGACAAACACAGGCAGGCACAGCAGGGGCATGCCAGGCCTTAAAGGTGTAGGTCATGGGACCAGAGGGCTGTGGAGCAATCCCAGTCCCAGCTTAGATGACGTTCAGGAAATACATGCACTGTGCCTTTAACACAAGCTCCTTTTCATGAGGGGCAGGTAGGTGAAGAGCTACGGTAAACAGATTAGAATATGGTTTCATTCTACACATGATCATTTGTTAACTGAAAACTTAGATATTTCTCCACTTTCTTTTCATTTTTAATTATGTGTATCTACCCCATGTGTGTGCGTGCGTGTGTTTGTGCACACAGGGGCTCTCAGTGTCCAGAAGAGGGCACCAGATTCCCTGAAACTGAAGTTACAGGTTGTTGTTGATGTGGGTGCTGGAAATCAAATTTGGGTCTTGTGAGACAGCAGTAAATATTTGTAACTGATCAGTGAGCTCCCAGTCCACATTTCTTCACTTTCTGGAGAGTATATTTAAGTACAGCACGGGTCATAAGCAGAATGATTTGTATGTGATTTACTCTCCCCGTAACAGTCACAACCCATTGTTTGGATACAGAAGGATCCTGCACCCTTTAGATTAATCCATTGACAACAATAGAATCGAAGGCTTGAGTCCACAGATGGTAAGAAGAAGCTGGTAAGCTCCTTTGAGCTATACCAACCCAGGGCTGTGTGACTCAGGATAAATAATTTACCTTGCTTCCTTATCAGATTTCCTATCTACAGACCAAGAACTCATCGCTTTTATAGACCTGCACCACCACAGTAGACTGGGATCCAGGCAGGGATCAACTCAAATTCCTTCCCAGGCAAATTCCTATGCACTTGAAATTAAGGGACCTTGGGTAATGGCCCCCTTGTGCCTTTAATCCTAGCTACTAGGGTACTGCCTCTGTTGGAGAACAGCTAACATTCAAAGACAGGGAAGGAAAGGGACTCAAAAGAGATTATCAGAATGGCAGCGAGGATCCTGGTACAGATGCCTGGGGAACAGCTCCTGGAGAGGAGACTCGGAGACTCTGGAGTAATAGCCAGGGCAGACACAGACCTACAAAGTCTGGAAAGGGGCAGAGTAGCTTTGGATACTGCTCGGGAAATGTGGTTGAAAAGAAAGAGAAGTTGAGAGGGCAACAGGGCTAAGAAAAATGAAAACAGACCCGCAGTGGCTCGAGGGGAGGAGGACAAAGCCCTAGGGGAGAGTTTAGCAAAACGGGAGATGGCGGTAATGTGGAGTACTGCTGGTTGACCAATAGCTGCAAAGTGGCTAGGGGGCCTGAGAGGCTGTGCAGTATGGGGTTAAGTGTGTAAGTCCAGAATTCTGTCTGACTTGGGGCAAGTGATGGAAGATCTATTAAGTCTCATTTTCCTCCAGTGTATATGGCAGGGGTGTTAATACCTATCTTTATGGTCAGAAATGAATATCAAATGCAAAGCACTTGCAATGTTTCCTGGTTCATAGCGAATGCTCGAAATATTAGGCCTGGTAATAATAATAAAACATCTCAGCTGTCTTTGAGCGTTATGATGGAAAGCTCAAGGTCAAATCTCTCACACAGTAATAGAAAATGAGGAGGCGGCTGTGATTAAACTGACCCAGGGCATATTTGATTTCAACTTTTGTTTTAAATTCTCGCTTTCTATTACTCCTCAAAAGAATTTACTTGAAAATTAATCAAAATTTTTGCTTAAAAAACTCTATGTTATCAACCAAATAAAATAATTTTCAGGATCCTAAAAGGTATTTTCTAAATCAATACACTAAATAATGTAAGAATAGCTTATGATTCTACATATAATATATATACAATTTAAAATTATTCTGATAAAATTTCAATTTCACCTTTTAGTTGGAAGAGGCTGAATTTGCATCAGCATCTCTCATAATGTTAAGAAAAAAGTTAACGAATCACAACCACTTATTAAAAAAGTTGAAATGGGAGGGGGAAATTATGATAGCTAATTTCTTTTTCCATTTAAGAAACGGGATGAGTCTGTGGGGGGGCTAAGAACTTGAGAGGGTTATGGGGTGCTGCCTCCCTGCTGAGGCACTGTGTTGTTGGGCTGATTTCCTCACCTCTCTGGCCAGGCTAGACAACCAGGATGTCACTCATCCCTGGGCATCGGGGAGAACCTGTGGTGCTTTTAAGAGGAGATGCTCCGGGCTGGTCAGCTCAGCAGTGTTGTTTAGTGTTTTGCTTGGCTTGGGAATGTGGGCCTCCTATCTTCTCATTCCTAAACTGGGTCATGGAATTGGTAACAGGAAGAGTGGTTGAAGTGGGATGTTAGACAGATCTGGAATTCACTTCTGAAAGGCCAGAAATTCTTTCTTCCTTCTGTTCTTTGTAATATACTGTCTTAAACAAACAAGCAACCAACAAACCAAAGAAAATAAAATAACCCTCCTAAAACATCAGGAGTGTGGTGGAAGCTAAGTAGGTGACTTAGAGATTGTGTAGTTTCTGTTTAGAAGGGTGTGATGGACAAACCTGAGAAATGAAAATGTTAAGAACTCAGGCTCACGGGTTGTATTGACAACCTTCATGTTTGGTGGCAGGAAATTCTAAATGGTCTGTGGAGGAGGTGGCAAAGATAGTCTCTGTGCTTTACAAATCTATCTAATGCCACTGACTAGGACCAACATCCTGGCCTTGGGAAAGGTCCAGAAGGGTAGGCAATGAACCTACTTTTCAGACAGTTGGGCCCCAAATTGTGTCTCTGCATGCATATGACCTTGGACTAATTAAATTATCCTTGCATGTTTATATTTGCTAATACCTAAAATAGATTGAATACGATTTGCTTCACAGAGCTTGTGTGAGAATGACTCTTGCAATAGCCTTAGTATTGTGCCTGATACAGACCTTAAGCGCGCAATAAATTACTACCAGTTGTTAGAGCACTATAAACTATAACATTTCAGTTAGAGACCCTTTCAGCGGGGTAAGCTGGGACCAGAGGACAGGAGCTGCAGCCCGGAGCTGCGCCCTTGGAGCAGAGCTGAGAAAACAGTACCTCACTCTAGTGGCAGAAGGGAGGGGAGTCCTGAGCTCTCTGGTGTGTGTGTGCAGTGTGTGTGTGTTTGGAGTGCTGGACCTGGAACCCTCTACGACGCCCCACCTCACTCTGGTACCCTATAGGGAACTCTCAGGATCCTTTACCTGAACGCAGGGGTAACCTTTAAAGAATAACTGACTAGAGTCGAATCATTAGCCTGCTTTTGAGTCAGGCCAGGCGCACACAGCAAAAGCCCGTATTAGCCCTTCGGTTCCAGGCTTGTTTCTTTGCAGTTTGGTGCATCAGGCACTCGTTAGCACCCCGCCTTGCTCCCTGGGGACGCGGGCGAGGGGCACACACCACCCAGCCAGACCGCACCGCGGCGCACGCGCACACGCTCGCCTAGCGCCCAGCGGAGGAAGGCCTGGAAAGTTCCACCGGATTCCAGAGACCAAGGTTGGTAGGCGCGGAGGCGGCGGGGAACGGGTGCGTGTCGAGCGGGATGCGGCCTCCCACGGGCTGCTCCGGACCGTGTCCGCGGTCCTCAGGGTCGGGGACAGAAAGATGGTCCAGGAGGGCGATCAGGAACCCGTGGAGGCTCAGCCGCGGGCGCCCGGAGGGGCGGGGCGGGACCTGGCCTGGTGGGCGGGGCACCCGGTGGGCGGCCACATCAGCTAGATGTCGACG